CAAATTTCGCAAGGCTATATTATCCTCATTTTACAACATTTCCCAACGAAACTTTGGAATATTACTAATTTTGTGATGCTCTTTCAAGCTGTGATGAAATTTTTGTCTGGATCAAAATTTAGTCTATAATGCAAATGGTCCATTCGGACTCATAGTCGGATTTGAAATATTACATGAAAGCGTAACACTATAAAATAACCAAGTACAGTAACGCATATTACAGATAGTTCAGTTTAAAAGGTAAACAAGAGCTATGAAACTCGGCACTTTCATCGTAACGAGGAAAATCGCTTGTGTAACTTGAGATAGATTGAGATTAAAACAACAGAGTAGGGTGAAACCATATAACGTTTTCGTACCAGGCCTTTCGGAGAGATGTGCTGTTTTGGTCTTGCCTAGCTTTGTGATAGTTCCAGTTAGCAGCCGAGCACACTAGAGGAAACAACATATGATCTTATATTATTTATTAAACTTTGGTCTTTAATCAAGATGCTCCATCGCTAAAAGCTAGTTATACCGTACTTTTTCTGTTGATATTGTTGTCAATAATGTGTAATAAAACATCGCTCGATCACATATATCTAATATTACAACAAAAGTTAAAGAAGAAATATCACCTCAAAAGTATGAAGATGAGATGCAATTCCTATATCAGTCAAGTCTATCATGAATGCTATATATCATCACATAGACTACATGGAAAACAACGGTAAATTATAAAAGGATACCGATATCTTGATTTGTTTTGTTTATGGTGAGAAGACATTCACCAAACTCTGAAAAAGCAGAAATTTACTATTATTATAGAAGAGGATTAGGTAAACTCCAAAGTGCTATCCGGTAGTGTTGATTGTTTGACAAAATACTGGAAAAAAATGATCAACAGATTGCAGGTTAGGGTATGAGGTCTAACTTCATTTAATATTTGGACGATATTATCTCTTAACACATATGTTGTTACATAATACCTGCTATAATTTTTGAAGTGTCGTGATACTGTAAAATATTCCTGCATACATGAAGTATAGCGTTTCCCACTGACCAATTATCACTGCTCCTTCGTATTTCATCACACATCGCCAGTTGTTGCAGATACCCAATGGTTCCCTAAAATATCAATTGATTGATTATTAGTTATTAATTAATTATATATATTAATTAAATATACATTAATTATCTATTCATTTATTATACCGTTCACTAACCTTGGGCGGTATATCCTTTAATCTCATCGCATATCCAAAAGCTTTGAGAAAATTACGAATGTTTTTTATTTGTTTTCTTAACGGCAATGCCACAATGTAGTCTGTGAAATTTCGTAGTATTTCGCAAGGTAGGTAGCTGTAAGAAATCACAAATGGCTCGTTAATGTACCTGTAGTAAGTTTAAGAAATCTTCAAATAGTTCATGTTCACGCTGGACCGTATTTTCATACCTTTCTGGTGTGAGAACAGAAACGGAAATAGCAAAATCTAAAATGTACGGCACTAAGTCAGAATGCTCTGTGGCTATTGAAAGTAGAAATCTGCAATGAAAAACATGGTTGAAAATTAGCTCTAATATAACACGTCTTAAGGATTTTGAAGAAAAAATCGATTTAACATCACTATCAGGGGTCGGTTGTTCAAAGCTGGGTCAGCTTAACCCTAGGTTAACCTAAAATTCAAAGCGAACTTCCCAACAACATGTTTATAAACTTGGAAATATTTCTTGTGTGGACCGATGAGAGTTTTCTTCTCTGAAATTTTGAAATAAACAGATGTGCAGAAATACACAAACTAAAACAGAAGGTTAAATTTTAACCCAGGGTTAACGCTAACCCAGCTTTCGTATAACGGGCCCCAGGGAATCACCTGTAGATTTCTTGCACCAACGCTACTGAATCTCGATGTCTTGAGTAATATGAAAACAAAACTTGGAACAAGAGGGCAGCGTAAGGACGTTTCAAACCATGGTTTATTGGTTTATGAAGACACACCAAACAGTTCATCAACGTGGCGCTCGCAATATCTACAGACAAAAAAATGTTGGAACTTTATATAAAAAAGATGGTTAATACATATACAAGAATTGTTATTATTACTTAGGGAAGTACAATTATTAATATCGCCACTCTTGTAAATTATCGCTTACATGATAAAAAACAGCTATGCCGTGAAAGACGGAGGGAAGGACGGGATAATTTTGAAAGTGATTTTTGCTTAAAAGAAGGGGGTAATGGGGTATTTTCGTGCTGCGTATTGGGGTAATTTAATTATTCGTTCTTCGTTCAGTCATCTTTTTATTAAACGTTTTTCGATCCCGACATGGATGCCGTGTATCGTGCTTGCGGTGTATTCAATATCCGTTCTCCGTTTTCAGCTGTATTTAATGACGGTTATTTCTCGTTTCTGGACAATATGTTCCATTAATTTTGTTTCTGGATTTTAAGTATGATTGTTGCTTACATTTCATGTTCAGTTTACATTTCAGATTCGTAATAAATTTATTTTACGTGCTTCAGGACTTCCTTCTTTTATTTTTCATGCTTCAAGATCGCTGCATATTATTTTTCGTGCTTCAGGATCGGTACCCCCCCCCCCCATTACCCCCTCTTAAAACGGTGTAAACAGCCATGATGATTATCTTCAGTGGCGGATACTAGGGGGGGGGGGGAGGCCTAAAATCTATGAATGATAGCTACATAACTGTGTAACAAAGCTGTAACAATTTTTCAACTATGAAAGTATTGTAATAGGCTACAAATTAATCTAAATATTGGCAAATTTTAAGGCAAAAAAAGTTTAGTGAACTATAAGATTTCCAGGTACAAAAGGTGGCAACCTAATTCGCCCCCACCCCCCGCCAATATTTCGCGAAGTGACCGCCACAAGCACGCATTACCTGGACCATCGCCGGGAGTACAACAACACGACAAAACATTTAATTTTCCTGGGATAATTTCTAAAATAATATTAAAGAAATGAAAGTAAAAATGCAATATAAAGCGACAAAAGCGTACTAATATCGTTTCTTTTGTTTTCTTTTTGGCTTTGTACTTAAAAGAAACATAAAAAATATCGTGTCCAATTTGAGTAAAAATCATATTATCAAATATATCAGTAATTGACCTTACCCAATGGATCAAAGACAGTTGGATGGAATTTTGCTCTCTCTGTAAAGTCTAAATGTTCAGCCAGAAAATCGCTTTTTCTTTCATGTTCAGCCTAAGTAATGTTCGAACAGATCTACTTAAAACAGCCTAATAACAAAATTACAAACAAGACTCGCATATAGATGGGTAAAGCGTATTGGAACCGTAACGCTTATTGGAATCTATTATCATACAATGTATATATGGAGTACTTTTCGAATAACTCTGACGATCAAGACCATTATTGCACAAAAACACCTAGAATGACTACCTTGACGTCTTGAGGAAAACTGATCAACCAATGAAAGCAGAGAAGTCGTTGAGAAATTCCAAGAAAACGTTGATTAGATAAATGACAAAGTCTGGAAGAAGAATTAAGAAAACATATAACTACACCCAAAGAATAGAGGTTAAATTCTGTAAATTCTGTGCTACACCCTTATACGCTTGTGGGCCGTTAAATAAACATTGTAGGACTAATTCCTCTTCTCAACGAGTCACGCAAAAAGTCACCAGAGATGAAAAATAACGTAAATACAAGGACACACGGAGTTTGACTTGTAGACTTGCAGTATATAATCAATGTTTTGCCTTCAGTTTCTTTTTCAAAATTCTCGTATACTGGGTCTGTGGTTGGTTAATTGAATCTAACCACATATAGCTTAGGCTGGAATTATAATTGGACGTTACTTTCAGACGAATATATTATCCAGTTTTATGGATGGTATTTAGCCAAGATAACAAGACATGTCTCGAATAAACAGCCACATACCTTTGTAACAAAATAATACTATCTGTCTCTTCAAACAGTTGGTTTCTAAACGTAGACTAAAGAACACATTTAAATCCAGGTTAATTCTTAGTGAAACCCAACTATATAAGTTATAGAAACCTTATTCAACATTCAGATCTTATGACTAACACTATAGCACTGGTTCACACTAGCAATTTGTCGCGATTTTTCTTCTCCTGGCGGATGTGTTCGAATGAGTGACATGCAAAAGACCAATAGAAATGTACACTTCCGAAAAGTGATTCTAAGCTGGTGTACGCATTTACTCATTCCCATCCGTCAGAAGGAAAAATCGCCGAATCGTTGAACATTATTTTCTACCTTAAGTAAGAGAACGAGCTGGAATAAGGGAAGATCCATGGTATTGAATAGACTTTTGACGAATTGAGACTTGAAGACCTATTAGAAAATGAACTACTGCATGAATAGACATACAGACGACATATACAGTATATTTGTAATATATTAGATACTAGAAGATACTATCGCAAGGGAGGTGCTGCCTCAGCCAGTGGGATTCAAAACAGCATGTGCAATTTGTAGAAAATGTCATACACACCAGAGAATAAAATTTTTTCGATCGTTTGGAACTGGCCATGTGAGGAATGAGGACAGAAGGAAAAACTGAGACAAAAGTACTCACGCTTGGTGATAAAGAAGCCAACTTAATGCAATGCATCAACTGCAACAAGAAAGAAACACGATTTTGTATATAAGTAGATATAGGAAGTCACCGTTGATAATAGTCAAAATAAGCACAGGCTTCCGTCATTTCAGGCGCAAATCTTTGATCAAGTAAAAGTGTGTTCAAAACCACAACGACTTATATCAAGCAATTGCATATTATTTACCTGTAGTAACACATGAAAGAGTGGTACGCTGGTAAGAAGGTTATAGTTATCAGCAATAAACGACACAGCTCGTTTTATTTCTTTATTTTGAAATTTCGTCGGTAAACTAACATCATAATGGTGTCCACCAATAAACTAAAAAGAACAAACAATAAACTAAATGTTTCAAAAATTTGTTAAAAATCATATCAAGGAAAGTGTATTGTATACAAATTAAATATTAACGAGTTTTACAAAAATAAATAAGCCTTAATTTCCTACATTCGTAATGACAGGAAATTGCTCCTCTATTACTCCTAGTTCAGATAAACAATTCATCTAAATGAAGGAAAGCACGCCATTATTTCGAAAACTGACCACACCTTCATACTGTGAAGTCACTAGGGATTACATACCTTCATACTGAAGTCACTATACGGATTACATACCTTCATACTGAGGTCAGCTTCACTTGACAATAACTCATTCAAATAATTCTGATTCTCTGGAACGCTAAACAACATGAATATTACTTTTTTTCTGTGTTGGTGTTGTGTACTCAGATGAATATGATGTTTGTGATGTTACTCTGAGTGTATATCCACACCGGGCGAGCTTGAAAAATATGCCCGGCCACGGTGGGAATCGAACCTACGACCTTTGGAATACTAGCCCAATGCTCTGCCAACTGAGCTACGCGGACGGTAGTATTCCAAAGGTCGTAGGTTCGATTCCCACCGTGGCCGGGCATATTTTTCAAGCTCGCCCGGTGTGGATATGCACTCAGAGTAACATCACAAACATAAATATTACTGTTGCTATTTGAAAAGAATGTTTTGCCATTTGAAAAGGGTGTTTTGCTATTTGAAAAGGGCGTTTTGCTATTTGAAAAGGGCGTTTTGCTACTTGAAAAGGGCGTTTTGCCATTTGAAAAGGGTGTTTTGCCATTTGAAAAGGGCGTATTGCTATTTGAAAAGGGAGTTTTGCTATTTGAAAAGGGTGTTTCGCCATTTGAAAAGGCTGTTTGCCATTTGAAAAGGGCATTTTGCCATTTGAAAAGGCGTTTTGCTATTTGAAAAGGGTGTTTTGTCATTTGAAAAGGGTGTTTTTAAGGGTGTTTTGCTATATGAAAAGGGCATTTTGCTCAGGGCTTTCAGAATTATTCAGAGTAGGCGTCTGATTTGATAAAGTTGGCGTCTGTTGGAAGGGGGCAGTCTAAAATTTGAGACTTGGAAAATTGATTGACCCCTCAATTTCCATAGCTCACCCCCGCCTATACTTCATGACCAGTCCCTTGCTTTCATTCTTCAACAAAGTTACTTCAAGATTTAAGATGGCAAATAACTAGCCTAAATCAGTTTTACAAAATAGTACGTCATTTTCGAAAATAACCAGGCTATATAAAGTGGACCAAGTTGAGGAAAAATAACTTTGTTTGAAAGCTCAGAGTAGAGGAAGGAGAGTAGAATTGATAATTCAAGTACTAAACACAGTAACCGGCGGTAAACTTCGTGCCACCCGCCGGAACTCCAGCGGCCGCCGGGTTATTTTGAAAGCCCTGATTACATATTGCTGGGATAAAAAGTTTAACATCTTTCTGCTAATTATGAATGTGATTGATACATACTCTTTCTGAAACGTTGAGATGTGGACGATGGCGTTCTTTAAAGTTGTCACAAACAGTATCTAAATAAAGCATTAGATATTACTTCAATAAGCACAAAATACTGTCATTTACAAACAAACAAACAAACAAACAAACAAACAAACAAACAAACAAACAAACAAACAAACAAACAAACAAACAAACAAACAAACAAACAAACAAACAAACAAACAAACAAACAAACAAACAAACAAACAAACAAACAAACAAAACAAACAAACAAACAAACAAACAAACAAACAAACAAACAAAACAAAACAAAACAAAACAAAACAAAACAAAACAAAACAAACAAACAAACAAACAAACAAACAAACAAACAAACAAACAAACAAACAAACAAACAAACAAACAGGATAATTTATACTGTATAAAATATAACACCATGGACAACACGTACCATATAACTTTGAAAAATAACTGAGCGTTCTTGTTCACAACGTTTAAAAAAATAACCAAGTCTGTCTTGCAAAAGACCCTGGAATTAAAAATTACGAATTTCTAAGATTGAGTCATGGGTGAGTTAACGTTGCAGAATAACAGTCAATAGACCAAAGAAGAGCTTACCGGATACGATATTTCTATTTCCCATAAACACTCACATGCAGTCTTTCGTGTTAAAACAGACGATGGGTCATTGACCTAAGTATCAAGTATAAAATAATTAATATACTTGAGTTACGGTTAAATTCCTGCAACTAGCCTACAGCTGTGATTTTTTGGTCGCGTTTGGAAACCAATTTTTCGTAAAAAATATGGCAAAGTACTGAATAAGTCAGATGGTTTCCTTTGTTTCTGAGTTAAATTTGAAGCTTGTGCTGACATAAACAGTACACCCAAATTATTTTCTGACACAATTAAGTCCGCGGCGGTGGAGTGGAATAATGAATATTAAAGGCCCAAACACACAGAACCAGAATTCTACCAGCTTTACTTTAATCCTGGTTCACGTTTTTCAAATATTTAGGAGCGCTATAGCCTATAACATTCTGAGTTATTTGGTCCAAAATTTTTTTTAAATTTCCTTTCATGGACGCTTTTATTTACGTTCAAAAACTGAAAAATTACGTCGCATTGCTCAATCGCAAATAATGCATAACGGATTTATAGCCTGGTTCACATATGCCTGCGGTATGCCTGCGCTATCATTGTTTACAGCTGTTGATGCATATATTCTTTTCAAAATTTTGTGAATTATTTTTTTTTAAATTTTGTTGTGACTTTTTGTTGTGAATATCGGTTTGGTTGAACTGCTAACGACAATAGCCCGCCGACATACCACAGGTATATGTGAATCAGGCTTATACTGTGAAAATAAATAGATTTGAAAGAATAATTATTAACGAAAATTAATGAAACAAATTTGTACAACTAGTAACTAGTTCTTTTTAATGTGAGTTTCGCATTGCTTCACGCATCCTGATATGCCCTTCAATCTTAATACACGTTTTGTGGTAATAAAGATGCAGGAAATTCAGAAATAACTTAGACTTAGTCTAATCGTAAAAATCTTAAAATCCCCCGTCTTGGTAGCGCCATGTTTTTGTAAGATTTCAAATTTAATAAAGAAAGACTTGCACAGTAATTGACCATTTGCGTAATAGACTAAATTTTGATCTAGACAAAAATTTCATCACAGCTTGAAAGAGCATCACAAAATTAGTAATATTCCAAAGTTTCATTGCGAAATGTTGTAAAATGCGGATATTGACAGCCCAATACCCTTTGGGGCTGTCAATTTCCCGTTTGTAATCTAAAATGACAGAAAATTGCAAACTTCGTAAGGCTATATTATCCGCTGATTTTACAACATTTCGCAACGAAACTTTGGAATATTACTAATTTTGTGATGCTCTTTCAAGCTATGATGAACTTTTTGTCTAGACTTGTTTAGATCAAAATTTAGTCTATTAGTATTACGCAAATGGTCAATTACGCCACCTTTGAAATAACATCTGTTAAAAACTGAACACTGCTGTGCAACGTTTCACAATTCTCCTGTAAGTTCTGAAAAGAAAAACAGAGATACAATTGCAATCATCATATTAATCCTCTTATTAACATAATACTATACATCGCCTCCAGCAAACCTTTAGGCTTTATTAACCGTCATTTGAAATTTTTTCATTGGTATCCGTTAATATTAGAGATTCAACATGCTATTAGGTATAAAAAAAACACAATTACGCCTGGAAATAAATCACTTCATGCCATCTGCCATAATTTGATTTAAAAAATTTCCAGCATAAATCTACAGGGTACGACAAGAATCACCTTGAGTTTTGAAGAGGAAAGGATTAAAACCACTGTTAATGTCACCAAAAGCTGTTAAAAATATATATAAATCAGTGACTATAGGGACTAGATAAAGTGCATATATTAACTTATACTGATTAATTAGTAGTAAATAGATTAATTAGTAGTAAATAGATTAATTAGTAGTAAATAGATTAATTAGTAGTAAATAGATTAATTAGTAGTAAATAGATTAATTAGTAGTAAATAGATTAATTAGTAGTAAATAGATTAATTAGTAGTAAATTATGTGCTACATTATTAGTAGTAAATTATGTTAAAAATATATATAAATCAGTGATTATAGGTACTAGATAAAGTGCATATATTTAACTTATACTGATAATTAGTAGTAATTAGATTAATTAGTAGTAATTAAATTAATTAGTAGTAATTAAATTAATTAGTAGTAATTAAATTAATTAGTAGTAAATTATGTGCATGCAGTACCTGAGATTTATAAAACTGTCCATCATTTATCCCTGGGTAAATAAACATGTTCTTTAATGAACCAGTAACATGCTCTGCACTAAAAGAATAACAATATATGTTACTTGCAGTTTCACAATTGTGTCATAACTTAAACATCACAAACTTGAAATGGCCTCCTGCTCAAAAATGGCACATAGGAGCCACAACCTGAGTTTAAGCCCAACTTGTGCAAGGGGTCAAATTTTGGCACTGCATGGCCTTAAATGGGGGATCCCAATAATGGGTGGAGAACAGGGGAAATTGCCCCCTCCCACCCGGGCCTCCCATCTATATACCTCATTATTGATTACCTGGTACTTGCATATCAAGTATGTGATAACCGATTATATGGGGAGTAGCCAATGCATTTAATGAATGCAATAAATGTTAAGTGGAGTGCCCATTAATAATTGGAAAATATACAATTTAATTACCTAAATGTAATAATGACAATAGCAGGTTAACTGAGGTTAACTGGTACTGTACCTGGTGACATTCAAGGAAGCCCATTGCACCTATAAAATACACTTACATATATTGAGATAATTGAATAACATGTTAAACTAATCAATATGTATTTCTAGTGTACAGTGTGCAAACACAATCTCATTGCATGTTAAAGTATTGTGAAGCCTGGTGAAGTATTTGCAAGTTTGTTGCATGATTTAAGTTGGGCATGCTGTACGTTAATCTTTATAAGACTTATAAGGTTGTCGTTGTCTGTTTTGTAGTTCTATTTGTGAAGTTGTCAGCACTTTTCTGCAGTTGTACAGAGAGTTGTTCAACCTACTTTCTCTTGAAGATTTGATAAAATTTGTAATTTGGCAATTTCTGAAGTACTCTCCTGGCATAATGTCTATAAAGAAAATACAGGAATCATGTTTAAATTAAGCAGCCATCAAAATTATTTCACTTATTCAATTAGCCAACAAATGTCCAAGTCATCAGAAAATCGTCTGACCTACGTTTATACTGTACCGGAAAGATTGCAACAGAGAGATGTAATTTAAGTTGTTTTGCTCAGCTTCTGAAAGTTGTACATTCTAGTGCATAACATCAGGGCCGCAAAGAGGGGGGGGCAAAGGGGGCAAATTGCCCCGGGCCCCGAGTTGCTGGGGGCCCCTGAAAAATTTTTGTTGGGCCCCAGCCTTTTTTGTGTGTTAAATATTTCCGCGCAAAGGACAAGATATCTGTTTTCTTGGGCTAAGTACCGAATTTTGGCATAAAAAAATGAGATAAAGTCCCTCGAAAGCAATTGCAACGTACTCGTCCGGAAAAATTTTGTACTCCGGAAAAAAATTTTTACCCCTAAAATGGTACACTGACCGAAAATTTTTTGTCCGGAAAAAAATTTTTCCAGGAAAATTTTTTCAGATAGGGGCCCCTAAAAAAAAATTGCCCCGGGCCCCCGCCAACCTCTGGGCGGCCCTGCATAACATAGGTGCTTTTTCGCACTGCTACAGAAAGCTATCCGGTATAGTGTAAACATAGCCCCTGAGCTACATGCCAAGCAGAATAGGATGATAAAAAGACTGGTTAGGAATTTAATATGCACAAGAATCTCTCTTTAATACCGTAGAAAGCTGATCGCTGACAGACCAAACCAACTGACTGACTGACCCTACAGCTGACCAACTAACCAACAGGCACGATTCACTGACTGTGAGAACCAATGTCAAGAAATGGAACGATAATGGAATGTACATGCACCCCTCCACAAAGCAAGTCATCTTGCCTATACAGAACCTTGTTTTTGTGTATGTGAGATTAGTTAAAGCCCAACATCTCAATTACCGAAGCAAGGCTCAATAACCAAAGTGACATACTTTCCACAAGGGTATATTGAAAGATTTCCTTGCCCCCGAACTCTCTAGCTCAAAACAACCATCTGCATCTGGTATGTCACCCATGACCATGCACAGACGCCACCATTCATTTAATCAGTTTCCTTATAATTATTTACAAAATAAAATTAAATTGTACATATAGTGCATGATTTTATACAAATGTCGACAATTCCCAACCTCGTACCCAGGGCCATTTTCTGAGGTTGGACAATACCTGGACCGAATATTTAACTATTAGAGTAATAGAGTTTATACTGGTAAAATCTGACTTACATCTAAAGTGTCCAAGAGAAAGGTTTCAATGTCTTGTGCATTGTCAACATCGATGTCCATGAAGCACGATCTGATAGTTTTGGAGATTACATTGATGGGTTATTTTCATAAAGTAGGTTCTTCAGAAATTTGCTATGAACATTTAAATTAAAAGTCTTAAAATTATAATTATTAGACATTTTTTTGTGACTTTCGTTGACCCTCGAACTTGTGACTGTTTCCAGGCCTCTGTAAACCACGGCCACGAAACCAAAACAAATATGGCGAAAATTTACGTTGCGAAGTTCACTGGCGAAGTTTCAGTATTTGGCCGCTACAAAATTAACTTAAGCAAAGTTTAAACAAGTAAAAAGCGTTTTGTGTGTAACGTGGACAAAATGGCAGTGAGGGAAACGTTAAATAAAATTGTTAAAATAGTGGATCCTGCAATGAGAGTACCATTTATTTTTGCCATTGACTGGTTTTTGAGCACATTTGATTATAGCAGTCTGTATTCATTCTGCAAGTCTTCACCAGGTATTATTATAATAATTATAATCTATTAATGACAATGGTTTACAATTACAAAATATATATAAAAATAGAATTAATACTTCTGGCTACATGACTCCAATTAATTGGTTAATAATAATTAATTTTTAATAATTAACGTGGCTTAATTATATTTTTTAGGCTTAGTGTTGTTGCTACCGTTATTATTGATTGCTACACATGACAATCTTCTTTTTATATATGGTTTTTTTATCAGCCTTGAAATCATTATTGTCCTAGCATTTTTTACTATTGGAGACTATTTCCCAGCATTTCAAGATGTCATATTAACTGTGGACAGAAAAAAGCTTTTTCTTGATGCGTTAATACTCTATCCAAGCCTAATATTTGTTGTTGGTATTGAAAGTGCATTATTAAGTAACCTTCGGACACCATTTTTCTTGGTCGTGTTGGCGATCGTCACTGGCATTCTCTGTAAACTTAACTATGGTTTTATGCTAGCGTTTTGGTATTTTATGACCTGTGAATTTTTTGGCTTACACAAGAAATTAAAACAGTCTTTCCATGAGGCTTCACACTTGGCCAATAACTTTGGGTATTTAAACATTTTCATATACTACTTCCGCATTAGAAGAATAAAATTGGTTTTAAGACTTTTCTGGTTGTTTGCAGTGATAATGAACTTTTTATTCGAAGCACATGCAAAATTGAACATCACCTGGTTTTTGATATGCACTGGTGCTGCGTCTAATACCAATTTACGACTTTTTGGGCTGGCACTTTGGTTACCAGAAATATCTTACACCATACTTTGGATTGCTCGAGCGCTGCTGACTTGGTCGGTGAGTCATACAGCAGATGATTTAGAACCACGAGATATGGGAAAGGCGCTGGTTTTTTATTTTATTGCCAGTTTTAACTCAGTTTTAGATGTGGATATCATTCAGCGAGTATTCTTTATTGCACTAATGCTGTTCATCACCTTCTCGTATATTCTTCAAAGTGTTTTCAAACTATGTGACGAGACATTAAAGGCCCTGTCAACATCACTACATAACAACCTCCTAGCTCACATCAGAGCAATTGCGCTAACACTGTCACTAATTTGGGTTCTTTTATACACAAGTTGGATGTTTTGTACACTGTTTTCTTTCCGAGTTTGGCAACTTGTTGTCGTTTCCTCAAATGTTGTGACAGCTGTTCAAGCGATGGGCAGCCTGGCTATTTATGCCTTGTTTGTTTACGACTTAAAATCTTTGAATAAACTTGAACAATTAGATGATTGGGTGTATTACCTTAATGCTGTCTCAAACTCGTTGGAATTCTCATCTGCATTCCTGGTGCTGAGCTTCGGAGTTTGGGATGTATTCCATGGCAGCTGGAGTATTTTTGGTAAGGTGCTTTAATTTAACTTATAATGGCCAGAGTTATGACAGAAACAGATCATCTGTCAAGACACATCATTTGTCTAACGTGTAATCTGCCCATACCTCCCCCATGAAGGAAATTGGAAGTTACCCCCCCCCCCATCCCCTTCTGATGTCCTAATACACTTACTATTATCAGAAACAAATTGTCCTCTCCCTCCGGACTACTGAAATTTCCTCCTTGGGGGCAGGGTTGATTTTCTCTGCCCTCCCCCTATGACATCATCATTGTAAAATGGAAGAAGGGGTGTTTTATAATATACTGGAAAATACATGCATGCAAAAACCCATCACCGAAAGAAATGAAGGGCTTTGGGGGTTCCTTTTGAACTGAGCCCTCCCCTGTCCCCCATACAACCGGTCCCAGATAATTTGATTTCATATGAACTACTCCTTTTGAAACAGGTCTTGTGGTAATAGTGATTCATACCTATTACAACGTATGGCTGACGGCCAGAAACGGTTGGAAGGTCTTCCTAAGCCGACGTACAGCTGTAACAAAACTAAACCGTCTTGCTGACGCCACTCAAGACCAGCTTAAAGATCTGCAAGACCTCTGCGCGATTTGTTTCGACTCCATGTCGAGCGCAAAGATCACACAATGTGGACATTACTTTCACTCGAATTGTCTGCGAAAATGGCTATATATACAGTCCTCGTGTCCGCTATGCCATCAAGATGTGTTGATCAGTAGCAATGAAGAGGATTGACAACTACTGCAAAGTTTGCAAAGGCTGGCCGCGGTTGGTTAACGTGCAGTGTACGTCTAGACCGCGGTTGCTTAACATGTATAGCGTGCGTCAAACCGCGGTTGGTTAACGTGCATTGTGCGTCTAAACCGCGGTTGGTTAACGTATATTGTGCCTCTAAACCGCAGTTGGTTAACATGCATTTTGCGTCAAACCACGGTTGGTTAACGTGCATTGTGCGTCAAACCGCGGTTGGTTAATTAACATGCAGCGTGCGTCAAACCGCGGTTGGTTAACGTGTGCGTCTAGACCGCGGTTGTTTAAATAAGATGTAGTTGTAAACTGCTTGTACATCATACTTCTTAAAATATGCCTGGATCTTCATCAGTGCAATAATATTATTTGCACAGATGAAAATGCAAGTACGTAACTAATAAGTACTAACTTTTTAAAAAGTTACACAGTCATAGAAGAATAAAATCAAAATTGCAACTTTCATTTACTTGACAATCAATACAATCACATAGACGTTACATACTAAGATTTTCGATATCACTAGTTTCCCCCATCAAACTCAAAACCAAGAGAAATTTGACAGTGTTAACTAGCGTAGGGAGTTCAAATTAGTTCATGATTACTTCAATTATTTTTTATTTATTCTTTTGACATTGATGTTCTTGTGGTGTTCTCTTTGTTTGCCAATGACACGATCTCTGAGATACAAAGCAGACAAGCCAAGGAGTGGTACAGCAGTAGGCATATCTGGGTAGAGGCCAATGGAACCAGCAATATCAATGTGCACATATGGTAACTGCGTGGCAGAGTCCAAGCCATGCTGCGAATGATAAACACGAGTTAGGTTATAGTTATTCATGAATGTGGTTTAACCTACCTCAATCTATGAAGAACCACAATCTATGAAGAACCACAAAAAAAAATAATTTGTGGGTAAAGCTCGATTGCTGAAGAGTGGAGATTATTGAAATGAATAGTCCGTTACTACATTCATGTAATCTCAGAATCTAAAACGTAGGTTGGTGCAGAGTGGTGGTCGAATTTTTGAGATTTTGGTTAGAATGAGGCCCCAAGGGTTAGAACGTGGACGCGGGCTAGACCTAAAGCTAAGATGTTGTCCTATAACGTGAAAATAACCAGACACCATATACCATGCATGATTCTCATCATCCTACGTTAATCCAGCGCCCTGGTTAATCTGACTATAGATTCCACGTCGTGTAGTATGGAAAAAATTACACCATAAGAATGGAAGAATATATAATGGATAATTTCACTGAAATAGGATATCAAGATACCTTGAAATAAAAGGATCTAAGTGAGAGATTACAAATTACCTTGTCCAAACCAGAAGCACGTTGCAAGAACACAGCAGCATACTGGTGTCCTCGATCTCCGCTCACTTTGTTTGATTGGTAGAAATCGTCGTATTCGGTTTTAGATACACTTGCATCAAAGTCCTGTGTGAAAAAATATTGCCGTACTTTGTACTTCGCCACGTCAAATTGATTTTGCAGTAGCCGCTAAAACTGCACGTGCATAATTTCTAAATGTTGTAATACACCGGACTTTTAATAATACCAAGCAGTATACTGTAGAACAAAATCTTAAAAATAATCAAAATAGACGTTTACAACGGAAAACACGCAATACTAAGACAGCGAAACGTTTTGATGAAATGAATATATCATAACGAATACGATCTATCATATATCATAACGAACACGATCCTAGATTAATGTGAATACTGTAAATATTGTTTAGTTTACCTCACGACGCAATGTGGAAATTTCACAAGGCTCAGCAGTTGAATCTCCAGCTAAAAAAAGAACGTGTTACAATATGACTACAAGTAGTAATCGATTTTCTAACTTTGCACAATTTCTCAATATAGGAAATTAGCAAAACTGAAGAATAGGTCAAGGGTGCGCCACTTTTCAATCTTAATTTTCTCACCGGTTCCAGAAACGTTATCATGAGACAGTGGTTAGCATAGTAAACCCACCTGCTTGAAAAAACTGACAAATATTCAGCTTCTTGGCAGGTCCATTTTCCATGATACCCTAGAAACATAAGTTAAATACACTATTACCAATCAAACAAATTAAAATATTAATGACAGGAAACTACCTTCGTTCCCAGGGTCTCTCGGCCTATTGCCCTGGAAAAGAGCGAAAGGTTAGTTAGCTGAACTCAGAATGACATTTCGTCAAAAGTTCTTTTTTAAGATTGGTTTAGAAACAAACTTGGAGTAGGGTTAGGTTAAGGTTAGAGTTAGTATTTGGAATAGGGTTTGTAAAACCGTTGCTTTGTCACTCCGAGGCCAGCGAAATAACCTCTTCCTGGAAAAGAAGACAATTCTACTAGTTCAAGGCTCTTAGCTGTCAGAATGACAAAGATTAGGCTCGGTTCCAGGCAGCCGGTAGGCCATTCTCCCTAACAAAGATTTGAACACCATCAAAATTATATTCGACTTACAGAATAATGAGGACCATAGGTTCTGATGCAGTGGCCAGTAAGAGTAGCAAAAGTGTAAATGTGAGGGTTAGGTTGTCCAATGGCCTATATTATAAAAAGTAAGATAGTTACTGAGTCCTACAACACACATTTTTGTTTTTGAAATCACTATATTCCTTACTTCTTCTTTCATGTGATAAAGACAGTCACCCATCGCAAATCTTCCCTCGGCATCCGTGTTGTTCACTCGGATTCTTACACCAGAGGCAGCTTTGATAATCTCATCCGGAACGTACATTTCTAGAAAAAGACATTCACCATTACGGTCTCCTTTTTAGGAGAAAATTTATCAAATCGACCAATGGCTTGTGAAACGTCTTGACGAGAACAGAGTCGTATTCTTCAACAATTTAAAATAAATGAATGATATTTGGTGAGATAATTGAACTTAAAGTTTAATGTGTAAATCAGCATATATAACTCTGAATCAGATATACAAACTCCTTCACGCTCATGATTTCGTTTGTTTTCTCATGAATTATTACTGATTTCACAAAATAACACACTGAAACTTACCGGGTCCAACGCCGTTTCGGACCATTGCCATTGTTCCACGAACACGAATACCCGCAGGTCTAAGAATGGATAGAATCTAGAAACAAGCATGAATTAGAGACCTTAGAAGAATGTTTATTTTACCATGGTTAGTAAAGTATGTGCAGGAATCTATCAAAATCTATAACTTTATCTCAAGAAAATAAAATCAATAAAGAACCGGGTATGTAACAAACCTTAAAGAATCCCGCAACAGCAGCCGCACCAGACTTGTCCCTAAAAGAAATGAAGGACACTCTGCTTTAATACCAACATATATATATATGGACACTTTCATAATACAGAATGGTTTAAATATTCTCATGCATGTGCATCTCAATAAACCCTTCTTGGTCTTGTTTAGATTCTAAAATTCTATTCAATTTCATGCACAGAAATGAGGCCAAAAAGGCTTACAAAGATGCACATAAAAAATAAAAATTATTCAAACCATCTGTATTATGAAAGTGGTCTATTATACTTTGGTTGATGGCTATATTATTCGCAACAAATCCTATCATGCATGCAGACTGCATGATAGGATTTGTTACAAATAATATAGCCAACATGATGCAGAACAATATCAAAATCCCTACTAGAGATAAAAACTATCTTTCTACCTGTTCATGCCACGCATATTTCCACCAGTTTTTATATCAGCTCCACCAGTATCGAACGCCACGCCCTTGGGGAATCATTAAACATTGCATTAAGCACCATTGGACTGAGTTATACGGTATTGTCTGCCACAGAACGGGAGTAGATGCATGTAACTTTACTATGACATGTTTTGAATTCAATGGATTTGATACGGATGTTATTTACATCGTACCTTTCCGACTAACATCACAGTATTCAGAATTGCCGCTTTTTCCAGTGGAATGTAGTCAAAGTTAATAACTCGCCCTTGGTGACGTTCAGTGACTGAAGAAAAGAAATATTTTTGCGTATACGTTATTATACGTTTAATGAACAAAAATCTACCACACATGCATCATTGGCAATAACTCCAATCACATGTCAGAGGCGACATCTATCAGTAGATGTATCGGTGCCCTAGTATTTGAGAAAAGAAAGTAGGTCTGAAGAGTGTAAGTGTCATTCAGTCCCGGGCCCAAAAATTCAGGGAACCACTAGACATTATGTACTCGAGGAGGAACGTCATTTGAATAGGAAATCATGCTACACATTCTATCGAGTCACAAAATGCCTAACAATTGCAGTTTACATACCAGAAGCAGCACGGTCCACGGCGGCCAGTAAAGGATAGTTTTGTTTAAGAACGTCAGTGCCCTTCGTTACAGTTATCTATAGGATGTAAGGAACTACAGTTGTAGCTCTAGAGTCTAAATATTAAACTATATAGAGTTAAATAAACAAGATGGGTAAGAGAAAGTGAGATAGTCAGCTTGGAAAAGGCCAGCTATGACGGAAAATTGAAGGAAAAAATCTAGAGAGTAGAGGAAGACCCCTGTCTTCTACATACGTTGAGTTAAGCCCAGATTAAACCAGGACTGATGAGAGTTGGCAGTCAGGCGAGCTTGGTCAGCTGTTCTATAATGCTTTCCCAACACTATCAGTCTATCATGTATTTTATTTAAGTTTAAACATAGTTGGAACACTCGTCAAACCTTTATTTTGTTAATCTACAGCTTGAAATGTCCCCTGTAACAATATGTGACTGGCAACTCTCATCAACCCTTATTCTCGTTTAACCGGAGAAACTGGATGTACGTGATTGAAAATGGATGTACATGATTGCGGGGGAAAAATTGACACTTTTTTCTTGCCAAGAAGCACTGCAGCTTTGGACAAGGAAAATTTGCCTTTGTGTGTACAACCGCCAAGGAAAACTTGACAAGTGTACAAGATATACTTCCACGCCAAGGCTGCCTTTTGTTTGCTAAAACAAAATTACGTGCGCAGGAGCAACAATACATGGCAAGGAAAATTTTGGCATACGCATAAAATGTTGGCATGTATAAAAAAAATGTTTGTACGAAAGTCAACACTCGGTTTGGCTCTCAATGAAACTACGATAGTGGTGTGAACAGTCTTTATATGGTGCCCCTGATCTTTATATGCAATCCGGACAGAACTGCTTTACAGATGTTTCCATCTGACGTACCTTGATGGTTGGATCGTTTCCCAAAACCTTGAGCACGTACTTTTCCACTTCACTGGTACACGAGAATTCAGGATCAGAAGCACCAATATCCCGACAAACCATTCTACAGGACAAACATGTATTCAAAGATGGACTATGGTTTTTTGAGGGAGTGTACATGCAGACCTTAGATCTGTTTGGTACTCCAACAAGAAAAGACCATGCAACATTAAATAACTAGTGCGTATAAATTTTTTATATTGCAGCAGTTTCGGTTGTCGCAAAAATGCAACCCTTATATTAAAAGTCTCCAGTCCAGGCTCTGTATGTGTCCCTTTCAAAAGTAGTTGAAACTTGGAAACTATATTGTATTTAGAGATAGAAAATACAAACGGACACTGAAGGGCTTTTCAATATTCCGACATGATATATTAAAAAACATCATGCATGTCGGGATATCGCAAGCGGTCGAAATAGAGAGGTGTCCGTATTAGAGAGGTACATCTGTAAGGAGAAGCGCGACTTGTATCAATGTTAATCTGAGAATGGATTTCTATTTGTGACTAGTCCCCGAAATCATTTTCTGTGTTGTTATATACCTGCCAATTTCAACTGCTTTCACATATTCCAAGAGTCTGTCACCGATCTAGAAACAAAATATCGAACTTTTTTATATCAAACTGCAGTGTGTAATTTTTTAGTCTATATATCGTGATCAGCTTAAATTACCTCGACAGTCCCCGAATAGAAAATTGCCAAGAATTCAACTTTCAATGCTTTTGTTGCATCAGAAACAGCCACCTCAATAGGCTAAATAAAAATCATCAAAATACATGTAAATAGATTCATTGAAAATCGTATTTGATCTGCAGAACTAATAACCACTCAATTGCTGTAAGGTATATTGGATAGGTGTCAATAAGCACCATCTTGCAGCAGACGGTCATCGATGGCAATCGTCAGAGAATTTGCTTCTCGTCGTGGGCACAAGCTCCAACGAAAATTGTGGGCTTTCTCCGTGTACTTCGGTTTCCCCCAACAGGAAATGTTGAGAGGTTGGGTTGGGATTAGCCCCTAACTGACCCCCTTCCATTGTGGCTATGCTCCGCCATCGTGTTCCACAAAGTGGCTCTTAGAAAGCCTTCGACGCGATCAGGTTGAACTGCATCCTTCACAATTCATGTTCGCTCTCAGCTGCAAGTATAAGGATGATTAGCACACCCCAACTTACTTACTTACTTACTTATCAGAGTGAGAAAATTACGATTCATTTCAATAATAGGCGGCGGAAGGGGACACTAGGGGCTATAGCTCCCCCAAAAATAAAAGAGGGGCTAAGCCCCCCTTCCCCCCCCCCCCAAAAAAAGGATAAGATTCGAAATTTTAAAGTTGACATATAAAAATGTAGTAGTCTAGTATTTAGTAGTAAGATATCGTTTAATTTTGATTGCTCTTTTCAGTGTTAGCATTTTTGTAGTTAACCACTACAGATCACAATATGATGCTGTGTGACGCTTCATAAATCGACCAATAAACGAAATAAACTCATTTATTTTCAGACATACTGTGTACAAGGCATGAAGGGCGCCGAATGCCGATACTGTCCAGGTATGTTCAAACGAAGTTGTAGAAGGGAAAGCCAAAACCGGTTTCTTTGATCCAGCCTTGATAGCCCTATAGTGAATAAAAGATAAATATAAAGCTTGACAAAATGAAGTTTGTAGGATTTCAACTAGTTGAGTCCACAAATGCCCCCAAGTGTTATTACCTCTTCATTCCATTGCAAGCGGCATCATAGTATCGTCTGACGTCATCGTAATCACGATTGACTGGGCCTATTGGTACGTACACCTATTAAAGCAAAGTAGTCTGAAAACATTTTTCAAAATTTTGGTTAGTCAAGGACTATAACTCAATCGAGTACCCCAAATTGAAGTGCATTATCAGTTAATGGGGAACAGGATGAAGAAATTTCACCATTTTACCGTGTCTTTTTTTTATATCAATCACAATGAGCAGGACTGCTCAACCTTCTTGCCCCCATCCTGTTCTAGTTTTGAAGAAATAATGCAGCCGTACTTACCAAGCGTTGCACATTGCCATCAATATCAATGAAACTAATGTCCTTCTCAAAGTTAGAATCATTCTACCATAAAAACATAATGCAAGAAGTATGTTAATTTTAATATTTTCACAAAATAATACGCCGTTTCCTAAATATTCGCAAATATTAACTCATTGAATTCCAGCACTTTCCCATGAAGAGTAAAATCGTCTGGCGTTCGACTAAATAAAATAATAATAAAAGGCGGAGCGCACCAGGGCGTAATGCCCTTCAAAGGGTGAATATAATACCTACAAAACCCAAATCCTAGCAGTTCTACTATGGTGAATAAAGATAAATCTTGATTACCGTCTTTCTTTCTTGGAGTGGTGCTTTCAAGAACTGTAGTTGAGGGTCTGTAAAGTCCAGATTTTCACTCACGAAAATAATGCAGTCATAGTCAGTTTTGTTTGGATCATCAGTTAAATTGATTGGGAAAATACGACCATCCAAACCGTTCTAGGAATAGAGTTGATGTTTCTGGTTCATTCGCAATATACTAGTTATAAGTTTAAAGTGTTGGTGATCATGGTAATATAAGTGTGATATAGTGTTCATGAAACGATCTTGACTCTCATGATGGTGCAATGATCGTCATGACGATAATGATGATGGTGATGATGATGATGACGATACATTGTTTGGAAACAAAACACGTTACAAAACCTTACATCCATGTTTCACCAAAATCTTTCTTTACTCAGCGCTATCTATGAGAAAAAGTAAATTTCATTTAAACTTATCGGTTTAATTTTGCATGAACTGCAGAATGACGTTGTCATCTAGACATTTATTATGTTGTTATCTGGACAGCGGGGCATCGGTGGCCGTCTGTCAACGCTCCGCCGACAGTCAACTCGGCCCACTAACCAACTCGGCCCACCGTTCAAGGACCAACTCCGCCCGCTCATAAACTGACTAATCTAACCATTAAACAAGCTAGGAGCCATGACTGCGTTCTATCTTTGCGAATTTTGAGAGAAATTTGAATGATCAGTAATTTAGTATCAAAACGGACAGATCGAGAATTTGAAACTTCGATAGATTCTTTAATTAAATTAAGTCAAACTGGATGTTCTCAAACTTTACTCATCTGTACGCCCAATGCAACTGCAAATGGCTGTATTGGTTTGGTGCTATCTTTTGTAAAATATTAGCTTTCCCAATATGTCAAACAGTAGTTAACAATTGGGCCAAGATGGTATGGGCCGAGTTGGTCAGTGG